ACCACAGTCACGGATTCACTGACGCGAATACCAACCTGAGAAAATGACTTTGCCTCGTGTTATCAAGATAGCATAAGGAGTAACTATAAACAGCTTGAAAACACCGGGATCGGGTGGAAAGGAAAGTAGGGAGCTTCTTATGATCAGGGGGGCTGGAAGTTTTCAATTACTCTCGAATTTGATATTTTTTAAATTCACCGAGGTGTACCGCGTGAAGCTTGCTGCTACGTACTTCAGTAGTAAAACAAGGGTAAGAAGTCATTAGCTGTGGTGCTCATGGTGTTCGAAGTGGGTGGTTCTCTTTCCATTGTGAGAGGATGATTCATGTATAGAAATTGACATCGATACTGACAATTAAATGCTTACTGTAGGCGGACTGCGCAAAATCATTGGTGTGACTTTTACGCCGCCGCTACAGGTGTCTCGTAACCTCGTGGTGTTAGACGCTGTCACGTCGGGAGACAGACGGGCGCTTCAAGTACTGAAAACGAGTGACGTGGCATTTCCGCAACTTGCCCGTACATACTGTATTGTACATGTACATCTTATTATCCAACATAAAGCCTGCGGGTTCGGTCTGTTCCCTGCACAATCCCACCCATCATCTCAAGGCATATGAGCCACACTTTCTGAGACAACACGGTTTGAAATGAAACTGGAAGATATCCCGTAGGCAGACGACTTCCATAAGAAATGGCAGATATCAATATAAAGCCGAGTGGCAAACCTCAATAGAACACTGAGGAAGACCTGCATTTAAAAACTGCGGAATTGCACCAGAGTTATACTATAAAGAGGGTTTTTCTCGCCTTCACGGAAGACAGAGTGATATAAACAAAAGGCTGGCATTTAGTCCAGTAATCAAACTCGAGTTTCAAAATTATTTGAGAACTCGATGGATTCAATCATAGCCATCATCTTTCCGTGCTCTAAGGCCGTTCGGATTTTCTAGAAGAGTATCGGAAGTGCTGGTGTAGCAGAATCCGAGTCAACGCCAACAATAGCTACCTCACGTTCAAAAAATCAGCCGTCATCTGATGTTTTGTCAAGTCCATCTTTGACAATGCCCCCGAGGTTTTCAGAGTGCGAAACCTTCTTGTAATGGCTATCCAGAATGACAGGAAGGGGAGAACTTCAAGCCAGACAGTTACGGTAATCTTGTACATATATCGATGAATGATACTCGAGGATTCCGCGATATTCGTAGGCACAGTAAGGAAATCGTTCTGTAAGCCGAATATAAGGAAGAGAATTCTTGTTGATTCGCTCTGTTTACGCTGTCTATTACCACCGTGACATTACACTTGATAATTTGTTTGAGTGGAACTTACGAATGCGATCAAGCGATCAGGCCGGAAAGAGATACAGGAACACCAGCGAAACTTACCTTACATAGAATAAACATCCACTGAGAGGGTAGTATGAGCCGCCATACTAGGAAACGCAAGCTGGGGACGCGAACAGGAGCTGGATTGATCCCCTATGTGGCCGATGTTTATGGTGCCTGAACCGCGTGAATACTGACAAAAACCTGGGTCGTCGGTTGTTTTTATGGCATCGGAGTGAGATTCATCCTAAGTGGCCGTTTGAAAAAGAATATGGTCAAAAATCAATTGGAATGAAACTCACCATAATCAATACATTCGAAGAGTACCCGACCTTGAAATGGGACTCTTCGGCAAATGCTAACTGGAATAATTTGCTCTCATGTTGAAGACATTGGTCTTACTAGGATAATTATGAGAGATTTCAAAGCGAGAATCCAATCCTGAAGACATTGTGATTGTCTTCATTTCGCGGTACTCAGATGAAACCGAAGTATCTAAATTTATAGGAAATTTGAACTTGCTCGTTAGTATGTAAAGTAGCATCAAGAATGATGTTCGAGATGAAACATCAAGAAAGTACATACCTCATATGCGAAAAATTGTATAGAGCTTTGACCATCGTCAATTTGCAGACTGAGGGTCCATTTGAACGTTGAGATCATCCTGGCGACGAGATTCATATATTGTGGCAAGATCTAATCTTATCTTAGAGCGCCGATATAAATTTCGAACTTCTCACTATAATTAGATACGCTCCTCCTCCCGCAACGTCTCCTTCATACTCAAGTCTAGTGTTCTTGCTTGTGGTTTGGAATAAACTACGATTTTTCGATCCATTTTTTCACAATATAATTCTTGTCAGAGCCATCGGGAACGAAGTGGAAGCTTTTTCACGACTACATCTCACGTTGCTCATGAGTGGCAATTGCTGTAGACTGCTGCGATCCATATGGTGAGTTCAGTATTCTCCCCTTCTTCGCATGAATCGCGTACTAACCTGTCGTGTTCTTTCTTACAGAAAATTTCAATTGTTGAGACTAGTTCTGACCAGTTTCGCGGTTAGTTGCTCATGTCGTGCATTATTTGATGATTCCCCCTAAGTATCCTTCTGTTGAAAGTTGTTTGAAAGATCTCAGCAGTACTTTTTCCCGATTAATTGGTCATCATCAGGGATCAAACACGAACATCCGTATAAATGGAAGATAGCGAGTAGCGAGAGAAATGGAGGATGGGTCCATGTTCAGAGACAAATGGAACGAGGTATGGTTTCATCTGAAGCTCACGCCAAGTCTAGTGTTCGATCATAACACATCCCTCAATATTTCAACATTTCGGTTTCTCCTTTCATGGCTACGCGGAAGTGGTAGCAACTCCGTCGACTCGCTGGTTCATGCAGGTCCGCTTAGTACGGAGATCGCGATTCTGCGATTGCTTACATGTCTTGGTGTTGCGTGTTCTGGTGCATGCAGCTGAAATGCATTTCGATCCTTTTGGTCCATTCGATGGCGCACCCTACTGCTGTTTTGCACATGTGACATGCGGATCACGTTCAGTGTGGAGACCGTCAACACAACCTCAGGTCGCAGGCAGCGCATGCATTGTTGTTTGGGACACGACCTTCGGCGTTGTGATAGGTACTCCGACTTGTAGATTCAAGCCTTTCGAGCACGTCTTTCGTATAGATGAGTTCACTTCGTCTTCAAAGTAGTGTAATAGCGTCTATTAACATTCTTCCATAGTATCACAGTTTGAGAGAGGGATGAAGAGCGTACTATTGATGTAAGGAGGAAAGAGAACAAGGTATGGTCTCGTTTTCTGATTCCGTCAACCTTGCCAACGCGATTTGTCCACCTCTTCCAGGCCCGTACATCTTGGAGATCATCATCACTTGTTCCAGTCGAGTTTTTACTGTGTCTGCGTCACTGGCGCTCTACTTATGTCCAGGAAACCATCGTTTCAACATATTATCACATTCCTCTTCAACATTTCAGTCTCTCTCCTAATATTTTTATAGAGATGGCGTTCTTAGGGGGTTCAGCTTACTGAATCTCATTCTCAGATTTTCAACAATGTGCTGGGCAGACATGGTGCTATAGTGTAGTGGTTATCACTCGGGATTTTGACTTCGTCTCCGTCGTCTTCCCGAAACCCAGGTTCGAACCCTGGTAGCACCTTTGACACACTGCGGTAATGTTTTTTGCCTTTATTTTTCATGTCCTGGTCACATTGAGCCGCAAATACCGACGGACAGATCAAGTGTCTCTACCATACAAATTGCTGGTGGTCATTATAGCAATGTGAGTATCAGGGGTTTTTTGTCTTAAACTCTCAATTCGGACGGTGAAATCAATCTCTGATTCGAAAATTCCTTAGGACAGTACTGTCCACATGTGTGCACTCAATTCTTCCACACATTGGGTTTTCACTCTTCTCCTGATATTTCTCGCATACCCCCGAGCTCGCAGACGTCAAGATTTATGAGGAAGGTGGTGAGATATGGCGTTATAGTGTAGTGGTTATCACTCGGGATTTTGACTTCATCTATGTTGTCTTCCCGAAACCCAGGTTCGAACCCTGGTAACGCCTTCAGGACATGTGCTTTTTGAATTTTGTTCCACTAGCAAGCAATCGTAAAGATACTCAGTTTGGTATAACTGTGCAAAGCTTCGTTCCGTCCTTGTTGAACTGGTTTGAACTGAATCTTACTCTACACCATGAACAGAGATATTCATCCGAGGTCGGTGTAGGCCAGCTATGAACATCGAAGGTGCAGTACGACGGCCGTAACATGAGTTCTTGGATGTTGAATCTTGGTCAATAACCTTTGAATGATGATTGCCAACTTGTCCTACTCTTCACGTCAGCAGAGCCAAGAAGTTTAAAGTCTATAATCAACACGAGCTTTTTCGGTGAAGATGCATAACTTTGTCTTCGCAGAATTGGAACTTCAACCTGTATTCTGGTAATGTTCCAGATTTCTAGCTCTTCATTTAAGGCGATCGTTAGGGTTGGTGACTAACCTCTCTGGCGCTGATGCTGTACACGCCCTCGGACTCGTATATCGTTGACAGGTATCGATTCCTGGTGTTTATAATATAGGAAATCCACCACTTGAACGGTTAAAATCCTCCTCACCCTGATGCATCAAGTTCGAAACCGTCGCATAGGCTCACACTTGGGACTTCTTGAATGAACGAATGTTTTCAGACAATATAGAACGGAAGAAAGAAAAAGCATGATACAACATGTCAAAACAGCTATGAGTACCAGTGATACGACATCAGGATGCACTGTGAGCACTCTTTCTAGCCTGTTTAGCCAACTTCGAAAGCTCCGTCCCAATAGCAGAATTGATGCCATTCTGCACTCTTGGAAAACTCTTACTCTTCTGATATCTCGGATTATGAAGCCATTCTACCCAATACTTGACATCCTTCGTCCTATCCGTATGTTTAGGTTTTCCCCCTTCACCACCAAACACGACCGAACATTTCAAAGTCGCGATGCTTTCCAACTGTTCATGCGAGAGTTGAATGGGAGATTTAGGATGTTTCTCGTTGAAGGCCCTTTCGCGTTCTTGAATGTAAGCGAAAACATGTCCTTCTCCTTCCCCTTGTTCTAATTGCAGCTGAGGTGGTGAAGGTGAAGTGGTACTCGGAATCGACTGTTGCTCCATACTAGCATCTTGTTTCTTGGACCTGAACGGAATCCACTTCTGCAACCTGCCACCAAAATCAAAGCTACCAAAGACACGTGGTTTCAAATGGCCACCACTACCATCTGTTTGACTATGAAGGAAGTGAGCACAAGTAGGTCTTAATTATGATATGGAACGGTTGCTAACATTGGTACAGCTTGCGTGACGGAAAACATTGTCATGAAGAGAGCGAAAGGAAGGACGAGTTGATGAAGCTTCATTGCAGGCAAATACTCTGGAGGGCGTTGAGGGTGAGTTTGGAGTACGAATTGTTATAAACGAGGCTGTACAATATCGTGAAATGTCCGCTAGATTTCGGTTCACGTTACAACCAGAAATATATCTATCATAAAACCAGTTGAGTCGTCCTGAAGACTCGGATACGATGGAGAAGGTACTCACGTTGAAGTAAAAAAAATGAGAAAAAGAAATAAAAGGACGAAATGAGGAACTGACCAGCAGTGAAGAAAAAAAAACTGGAAACGGGTGTCGATCTGTTTTTTATAATAATATTCAGGTCCCACACTGCGGTGCTTGTCTCATAGATATTATTTGGAATGTAAGACCTGCGTTGAAACATTGCAGTACAGTGTTCCACTTGTCGAGTTCTGATAAACCCTGCATCATCCCAAAGCTCCATTTGTGGAACATTGTTTTCGTTCCTGCTGATTAGATTCGGTTGCAACTTCACAGAAACGTTCAAGTTAACTTTGAGATCAGTAGTAGGAGATTTGAAGGCGGTGTCTTCAAGTTTGTGTACGAATACGTGTGTATCGAACCCCGAACAGATCTTTCATTTTCGTAATGAATTGCCAGTTATTTTCGTTTGATAGTGAAGATGAAAGGAGTTGAAATGATATGGTACGTCGGAGCGTTTTCAGGTAAGTATGATCACCCCTTCAATATTTGGTCTCCGACTCTATTGTCGTTGCCGATACAACAACCTGAACATCGCGGGCAACGCCGCAACAGCAATGACGAGAAGGTCTCACATCAACCACACTCTATGCATATAAGACATCCTGCAGGCCATTACACAGGATTATATTGATTTCAGTCAGTCCGGGAAATGTCTCAGACATACCGGTGATCTCAGGTTTCAGCGTCGATGTATAAATTCTATGGCATTGAGCATCCGAGATTCTCTTCACCGCTGGTCGGTTTTGTTTCTTTTCGTCTTCGACATCACTTGAAGTCTTTTTCTGTTCGCTAAGCTTGTAAGTTGATGTATTTACTTCAAAGTGTACGAAATATTGAAACAATGAATTGATTCTTGATAGAAATCCTCCTTTCAACGTTGACGTTACACCACGTTCAAACTAGCTATTTCTATCGTCTCAACTGCGTTGACAGTACCTGTAAATCCCTCACATTCGAGCCTTGATGATGTTCAGTAACAAATCTCTGTTCAAAATTCTCTTCCTTTCCTCGGTTCTGGTCGGTTTCGTGTCCACAGCTCCCGTGTACGTTCTTAAAATATTGTTACTTTTACAAGTCAACTCACTTCAATCTCCTTCTCTTTTCGAAGCCCTTCCCAAGATGACCATTCCAACATGGTGTCACGACGAGAATACTATCATCTCAAACCTCGACACAATCCAAGTTCACTCCCAGAGTCAGATCTGTCCAAACGAACATGGGATAATAGTCAACATCATTCTATCGGAAATCCTCATCTTCACGATCCATCTTCGTCTTCTACTACATCCGCTGAAATATCCGCTCTTCATTCATTCCTTGCCCATGATCATAATCTCTCACCCGAAACTCTCCATTCCATTGCTTCAACGCCATACACACCTATCGAAGGTCTCACGTTCACAAACCGCAAACTCGACATAACGAATCTCGGACAATTTGCTATCTGGTTATCTAAACTAGAAGCACATAAGCCACCCCCTGGATCTCCTCCTGTTACAAGAGAACGTCGTACGAAGATCCATAAACTGTTTGTGGAACATCTGGAGGAGTTGGCAAGGAATCATTCAGGTGGACTCGGAAGCGGGCATGGAGAGGTTGATTATTCGATGCATACGCCTGTAGCATTCCCTCACCCTGGTCTATCATATTCACCACACTACGCAGATCATAACAACCACAACCTTGGATATCCCACACATTCATTCGCGGGTTCATACCAAGGATCGGGCGAGCTTCATTCACATGATAGTCACAGTGCTGGATATGCTCCTTCGTATGCACCACCTCATGGTCCTCCCCCTCATTTGTATGCTTATTGATGGTGATTCGCGGAGAATGTTGATTCGGCTCATGCGGGATCATTTTTGCTCCTGTATATTAATACATTTTCCGAGTAGTTAGTACTATTTACTATTCAATATCTTATCATAAGTTGACAATGCCTGTGTGATTGCGACATATTCACGATTTATGGGGGTATACAGAAGAGGTTTAGACATAATTCAACTCCAAAACATCCTCCCCGCATGCCCAAACCTTCAACCTATCTTCACGGCTTTCAGTTGTCTCGGCATCCTCTTCACATTGCTCGTCCAACCATTCATTCCACCACTTTACGCTTTCAACCAGTCTCTTTATCTTCTGTTCTTCTTTTTCATGATCGTCGACCTGTTTCTTGTTGTGGTCAGTATCACTTTCTTGCGTGGAAAGAGAGGTAGACATGGGTATGGTGGTAGACTGGAGAGGTGGGAAGGACATGTACGGTTCTGTTTCCGAAGTTGTAGGTGATGAAGGAGGAACTGAATAAGCTCGGAGTATGTTCTGAGTTCGTGTTTTGCGAATTGCATTGAGGCTACAGCAAACCCGAGAAGAGAAAGGGGAAATAATCAGTCGAGATTCAAATCAGCAAAAATAAGTGAATACCACAAAGAACACAGATGAACGCAAGAAAGGAAGTAAAGACAAGGCTGTAAACACTCACAAATCAGTTTTCAGCCACTTCGCATTATTTCCCTCGCACACATACACCTGCGTAGTCAATCCCTCTATCCCCGTCGACGGTGGACTTATCTTCAAGTGAAAATGTCCGGCCCTCTCATGTCCCTTCGGCCCATACATTCCAGGAGCGACGGTCAAAATCTCCACCTTCCCATCCGCATCCGTCACACATTTTCCTCTTAATCGATACATCTTAAAATAATATTCTCCGACGGTTGAGGCTTGCCAAATATCGATCGTGGTGTTCGGAAGGGGTTGTTGAGATGGGGAGAGAATTTGGAGGGTCAAAACAAATGGATGATTGGCTGGTTCTATGGTGGGATGGGTCAGAGAATGAGATGAAGGGTATATATACTAACAGACCTTTAAAGTCTTCGTTAGAAGCCAAAACAGCTTTCCCAGGTGACAGTGTACGATACGGCGATCCTAATACATAGAAAGGTCCTAAACAAACGCGCTCGTTAATATCATTTTTCCATCAAGGACTGAAAACATACCTTCAAGGTCGGCCCTCTGATTTCTTCTTCCTTGCAAGAACCTCTCCCACAAAAGCCCATT